AAATCAGTTTTTGGTATTGCTTAAGTTCAAGCTTAATTAAAACTACTGTCTTAGTCTTCCATTGACAGTGAGAAAAGCTCACTTGTTTGAAAATTACAATTTATTGCTACAATATTTATCCAGGTGACATTAAACGGCATATATAAGGTTGGAATTCTGGAATTTTTACATTTTGAATTGGCTGTTGAGATTTAGATGCAAATAATGGAACTTTTTTTTAATTAATGATTTACTAATTAACTATTGACAGTATAAATGCCTACAGTTTAAATTATGAATATGCAATTAAGATTAAAAAAATGTATTTAGAAAGTTATTATCGTGTTTTGTTTTATGTACTTTAGGTGCACAACAGATGGAAGAGTCCGCAGAAACAGCCACTACTGTAGCCATCGTGATGACTGCAGATAAAGGTATCTTTCCACATTGTGGTTATTTTTATTTAACAGGAAGTGAATGTTATACCATATATTGCCTTAAAGGAATAGTTCACTTTAAAAAACTTTTGCTGAGAACTTACTCACCCCTATGTCATCCAAGATGTCCATGTCTTTCTTTCTTCAGTCGAAAAGAAATGAAGGTTTTTGATGAAAACATTCCAGGATTTTCTCCATATAATGGACTTCAATGGGGTCCAAACGGTTCAAGGTCCAAATGAGTTTTAGTGCAAACTGTTCAAAGGACTTTAAATGACACCAGACGATGAATAAGGGTCTTATCAAGCGAAACGATCGCTCATTAAAAAAAAGAAAATAAATAACAAAGTTCAAGTTTTATAAGCTCAAATGCTCGCCTTGCTCTGTTCTGTGATGAGTGTTCGTGACTCTCCTGTTCAAACTCGTTCATCAAAATGAACAAATCTTTTTTTCGAGTCTTATTCGAAGGGTCCTAGATAAGACCCTTATTCATCGTCTGGTGTCGTTTAAAGCCCTTTGAAGCTGCACTGAAACTCTCATTTGGACCTTGATCCGTTTGGTTCCCATTGAATTGCATTATATGGAGAAAATCCTGGAATGTCTTCATCAAAAACCTTCATTTCTTTTCAACTGAAGAAAGAAAGACATGGACATCTTGGATGACATGGGGGTGAGTAAATTATAGATATCTATATAAAGGCTAGATGTCTTAAGGCGGAGTTTCTATCGTCATCACCGGCGGCCATATGTCACAGGCGTGGTGACGAAGTGGTCAACACGAACACAAATACTCTTATCTCGTTGAAATCTTGACGGATTTACAAACGGTTTGGTTTCTTACAAAAGTTATTAACGTGGCGATAATTATCTGGATGATTATTTATTTATACACTTATTATTCATAAGTAGGCTGTGTCATAACTACATCTCTGACGATTATAACAAACCAAACCGTTTGAAAATCGGTAGAAAATTGAGCAAGTTATGGTCATTTAAATAGTACATGTACCATTCACACAATGTTACGAGTGAGCGAGCTGCCTGTGACAAGATGGCCGCCAGGTGCAGACGTCGACCTCCATTGGCCAGCAGCGTGGACGAGATACCTAGCCTTTATATAGATATCTATGGAGTAAATTCTCAGCAAAATTTTTTTTTTAAAAGTGAACTACTCTTTTTACAAGTTACAAAATAACAAATGAGCTCTTCCTCATAGTAGACCTGGCCAAGACTAGCAGCAGCCTGGATATAAATAAGCAGTTTCAACAGATTACAATACTGCAATAAGAACAGATATGGAAACAGAAGAATAGACTAAAACATTTTAAAATGGATAAAAAAAAAACATTAGACTGTGACAAATTAGCCTCCAATACTTTCATTTAGGATACAACATCATTTAACTAGATTCACTTTTAAGTATTTCAATGGGCAGATTCCAGGCAGAACGTGCAGTAATGTATAAAAACATCTCAGAAGCGCAAAGGGTGTTGTCCAGTACATTTTTTTACATGATTGAGCATTAGCAATATCTGAGATTAATTGATGTGCAATATCCACATTTGCATTTGGCAACAGTTACAAATGAGTAAGCTGCCTTTTATATGTTGCTTCGAATTAACTGGCTTGACTTCCAAAATATTTGTGGTTTTCCTTTGGTAGATGGAGACAATGTGTGCTGTGTCTGCCGCATCCATTTTGACGACAAGAATAAGAACGCAAGAAAGAAGTGGCGTTCATGGTCACAGTGCACAGTGTGCCAATCATGGTCACACACTGCATGTGGTTTTAAAAAGAACATGTGCCTTCCCTGCCAGAGTCAAAACACCATGCAAACACCCTGAACCTATGCTATTTAGTGCATTCAAAATGTATCTAGTAGTAGTTATTGTTACTGTGTTGACGGCCCCCAACCCATCCCTACAAATATATACACACACTCACATAATACATACATACATACATACATATATGTGCATTTTAAAATGCATTAAGTGCCTTTCACCTTTTTCATTAAAATACACTTGATGAACCTGTATTAAAGCTGATCTTTTTGTTGTTTTGATTCACCCCAATTTGTCTTTATTGTTGCCGTTTGTTGGCACCTTCAATGTGGTCCCTTTTAAACTGGGCCATGTGGGGATCAAATAAAGTTCTATTGTACTGAATTGAGTCTACATGTTGTTTTTATATATAAATCTGTTTCATCATTAGTTCAATAGGGCCTGGTTTTAGTAAGAACCTCTCAATAATACAATTAATTAAATAAAAATATATAATGGATGCTGGTATCGAAGAAGCCACCTAGTTTGAAAGATGTAGTTCCCCTCGGAAGTATTTTCACACTCACCATGTTATGCTTTTCTTTTAATGATTAACATTTAAGATTAAATGTGATGGGTATTTTATCTGTGTTTAAATGTTACAAAGTAATAATATAGATATTAATTGTTTCCTTGGATCTGAGAAATAAAGTTTATTGACAGTTTATGCAAGGGGGTTCCACTTCTGTTTAGAGTTGTCTGCCATGGATAGACTACATTTCAATTCAAAGTACTGCCGGTCACTATGATATTATATTTTAGTCACAAATAGCAATTATTTGAACACATAACCAACCATTGCTTTTAAAAAAAAAAAAAAAAAACTTTCTTGAAGTGAATATATATATATATATATATATATATATAAAATAAAAAAAAATGACATGCTTTTCAAATGGCACATGAGTTTTGGTAACATGGACTAAGAAAACATGCATCCATCTTCTTCTTGGACACTTGGTAATTACTTAAGTTGTCTGAGAGTGACCAATACACATTTGGAATAGTTAAATATGTGTAGTATTAGATTATGTGTTGAAAAAGATGCTATATTTTGAAGAGATACAGCAAGCAAATGTCACCTATTTGGTGGAAGGGCCAATTTATAATGTAGGCTACTCTTGTATTTGACTATCAATAGGCCTAATAATAGTGTACAAGTAGCCTAAGAGGAAATGACTACCCATCATGTAGATGATGGTCTTATCATTAATGGTATTTAACCATCATAACATCATTAACATAAAAAGAAAGCCTATGTATATAAGCCATGTGTGTCCCAAACCCAAACATAAATGCAGTGTGTGTGTGTGTGTGTGTGTGTGTGTACAGTACCCGATATTCCTTATGTTGTGAGGTTGTAAATCTGTTTACAGAGTAACAAACAAACAAACAAACAAACAAACATTCAAACAAACAAACAAAAAGCTTCATATAGGCAACTCCTATTGAGCTCTCACAGTGCTCTCTAAAACTATACCCAGGATGGCTTGTGTATGTGAAATGATAAATTTAAAACTTTGTTGTAGAGCTAAACCAATACATCGTTAGAAAGGTCTTGACCTAGAGAGTAACATATGTAAGTATTAAGATTTTACATGACCCCTGTTTTGAAATACTGACCTTTGAAACATGACCCTGGTGCATGTTTGAACGCTTGTAATTAAGCAATGAAAGGGGCTATCAACATGGGACCAACTGTTATAGAGAGCTCTTGTCCTTAGTTATCATGTGAATCTAGACAACAATTTAGAACAATTTCAAGTATGGTTAAAAATAATTTTAACCTATTTAAAAATGTAAAAATTATTTTCATTTAAAATCTGATTACATAGATGTGTTTACAATCCCCCTAAACTCCTCACTGTACTCTCAACTAACTATTTACAACCTCCCATTCCAAGAGAAACACTTATATTTTAAAAACTACAATTCCCTATAGCTACACAATGCAGCTTGATACAAATCGGCACTGCAGTTGTAGTTTTTCTGGTTTGCAAATTAGGGTTGAAAATTAGGGTTGTAAAAACATATATCTACTGCATATATCAAATATATAGTATAGCCAAACGATTATTTACACTGCATCTAGATGATCTACGTTAAGAAAATGTAAATATGTTGTTTTATTTAAGAGATATTAGCCGAAACAGGAGAACCTGTAAAGCCCGCCCACAACACAATGCACTTCCGTGTCGGATGCACTTCTCAGAATCGAAGGAGTATTTGTTAAAAGTGTTAACCTTAACACGAACATATCGTATTTGTTGAGTTATCAAGTTGTGTTTTTCTGTGGTCAAATGTTGAATTTATTATTATTTTTTAAATTGTCTATTAATAAAATAATTTCGGGCGGAAGGACGTCATGCAAGATGCGTGGTTTCAGCTATAGCGGCGTCAATTAGCAACCACCATAGCAACTAAATACAAAAGATAAAACTAAATGTTATGTAGGTCTAAATTCACTGAACGAAGATTGTGAAAATAAAGCAGTCCATTGGAAGAAGAAAAGAACCTACTGCACCGTTATGTTAGAAGATTATGTTGATTCTGACTGTAAAATCATTCTGTGTCATTTTATTAAGCAAGTTACTTTTTATTTAATTTATGTGTGCTTTGAATAAGTGCTATGACAATGGTTGAAAACATGGCTAACTCATTATGAGAAAGGTGTATTGTAGAGTCACTACATCTGTATGTTCCCTTTTATTTTTGACAAACTTAAAGTTGATACAGAGGATTCAAGATTCAATACTTTGTCATTTCAATAAATTTATTGTCATTTCAACTCATGAAAACAAACTCTCACACATGACCACATTTGTACATTACAATGAATACGTAATATCACAAGTGGTAAACACACAATTTTGTACTCGCATACTAGTGTCGATATGTGCTTAAATACAGTACCTAAGCTTTAAAATAGATCAGACCTAGTAAAACACATCTTTGTGAGCTTTGTAAATACAGGCCCTGTCCTGTCATACCAGTACCATTCCTAGTTATCATGGTCATCCTCAGTGTCATCCTCATTATCATCATCACCATCCTCATTGTACACTAGAGTCTCTATGCTTGACATGGGGAGGGCCTGACACAAGTAGGGGTTGTCTACAGGGACAATGTCTTGTACATGTGTGTGAAACATCACAGTTGCTTGATGACGTTTTCTTTCCACCTGATGGAGTCTTTGGGTGAGAGCAGCTTTTGCACCAGGCTGATCTGTGTCTTTAATGGCAGAGCAAAGAAAGGCATGCTGCTGATGGAGGTGTTCAGTAATATTTCTCATTTCCTGGTACAGCATGCCCTTTTCCTCAGTTGCTCGAGTCTTCATATTTATGGCATCAATTGCTCGCCGTTTAAGACTCCTCGAAACATTATCGTCTTCAATCTGAAAGAGAAAATAAATTTAAAAAAGCTATGTCATGTTACCAGGTGGTTTCAAAACTGATTGGCAGGTAGTTGGGGTTGGTAAGTGGTTGTCAGATTGTTTCTAGAGTGACTGCTGTGTGGTTATATATAGACCATTTCACAAGATGTAAACAACACTGGTCCAGAAGCACTTCCTGTTTCAGTTTTTTAACACTACATAAAAGCTGGGATAAAATACAACCAACAGAACATTTAAAACTGAATCAAAAAGTTAAACAAACATCTTTAAGATGTTTTCTTTACATGTGAAATAAAGAAAACGGTTACAAACTGAAACAGGAAGTGCTTCTGGACCAGTGTTGTTTACATCTTGTAAAATGGTCTATACTTACAGTGGTTATTATACTTACAGTGTCATCAAAGCAGAAGTAGACTTGCCAAGAGGGATCGCATGCTTCCTGAAAATCAATTATTGTGGGGAAGATGCTCCTCTGCGGTGGCCACTGAATCCGGTTGTATTCATTTATTGCCTGCCTCAGTCTCTTGTTGGAACTGGCAATCTGCTTGGAAAGTCTAATGGCAATGCCCTGCCCGTCTGTAGCAAAGTTAGGAAACACACATGCAGAGAAATGTATTTATTAGTTTGTATTATGGTCCTTTTCAAAGTTGAACGCAATATCTGAATGTATCTACGTATCCACAGCACTTTACCTGGATATTTTCTTTTCAGATGGAGGAGGACTGCTCTCTCCCTTGATTCAGTTCTAGCTTTGAAGATTAGTTGCCCTCTGAGCTCACAGTCCACATTTTTAAGGGTAGACTGGAAGTCTGAATCGGATTCTTGCCATCTTCTCCCAATCCGGTGTTTTTTCTCTATGTTCAGCAGAGAGTCCTCAATTCTACAACGGTCAGAAAATAAATGTTATTAATTTACTTTACTTTATACTTTATTGTCAGACGAGTCTGAATTTTTTCTTGCATAACAGTGTATGTTAGCAACATCTAACATACATTCTACATCGACATAAACTTACACATCACATATTATATCTTCAAAACAACACAACATAAATAATATACAACGTATATCTAACATACATTCTACATCGACATACACTTTCACATATCATACCGTCAAAACAGTACAACACTTATACTTCTAACACCTTCACAGTACTCTTGGTCCCTGATTGAAAAATTTTTGTTCAATGCTAGGATAGCCTGGTGCAGTGACCGATTACTGCTAGCTTACTCTGTTTCACACTCCATGGATGACTCACGATTCCCAGATCTATACATAAAAATAAAAATAAAAGTACAGCACAAAAATGCATTAGGGACCAAGCAGAAAGCATTACTGTGGTACACCCCTGACCAAAGACTGTATACGTTATTAGGGAGGCATTGGTGATAATTGATTACTAATCACACCATAATCAATTACTGCAGTATTATAGCAACTCTTAATTTATAACCATTGTAACGGTTTCCTTCAAAACTATGCTGTTACTGTAATCAAACCTAGGCTTCCATATTGAAGCACATCAGCAGGGCACTTAAAGACAGCTGTAATTACCATATAGTCTTACATAAACACAAACTCTTACTTGAACTTGTAGAACTGAATCAGCTTGATGATGTAGTCCCTTTTCCATCTACAGACAGTGCCTGAAGAACAGATAAAGATATTACTACTACTGCTTTAATGAATTGTTAAATTTCATGTAACTTCACATAGCTTACAGGATTGTATTTCATTACTGTACACGGAAAGGTAAGTATAACATATTTGCAACATTCTTTGCTAATAATATGCATGACCTTCATACAGTATTCAAGACATTCACCCATTCACTTCAGTTGCTTACTTATTGGTTTCTGTTTCTGCTGGGCTAGCTCCATTTCCCTTTTTTTCCATTTCTCCATGTCTCCCTCAGAAACCAACACTAGACAACAAAAATAAACAGAAAACAAGACAACATCAATACTACACACTCCATGCAAAATGCGCTTATAAACAGAATCTAAAATTCTGATTCTAAAACTCAGGTAACAATAGTTTACAACTATTGTTAACTGCTTCTTATGTGCATTGCTTACCTGGTGCCTCTCTGATGACAGATGAGATGTCTTCTTGAGCGAGAATTGATATTTTCTCTGCTCTGTCTAGTCTTTGCAGGAGCTGCATCTCTGCAAAGACAGTTTAATTTACTTATGCTGAACAATTTGTGAGTGATCAGCTTCACTCCAGAAGATATAAAATGTATAAACAGTGAACCACTAGCACAGAATTTTGACAGGTTATGCAGCAGTGGACAAACCTAGGTCAGTTGATTTCCTCCGTCCATAATGCAAAAGGGCATCAGTCAACAGGTCAAGGCGGTGAGATGGAGTCATCTCCTTTGTGACTCTGGCAAATCTTCTGAGAAAAGACCACAGCCTTTCCATTCCTTCCCCGTCTGTGAGCCCAAACCCATCGAGTCGCCTAGTGCTGTACTTGATCTGTGATTAAAGCAAAGTGGTAGAATTTCACAGACGCTGACACTGAGCATGATCCTACTTAAACTGTAAACTGCTTATAGTGATCATGGTTACAGTGATCAACCACTTATATGGATTCAAATGCTTGGGACAGAATCATTCCTGTAGAAATGCTGTGTGTAAATAATTTGGTTATAGTAATCAAATAGTCCGCTTAGCGTCTTCATATTGTGTGCTAGTTCATACGCTTGCTGTGCACAATTGCGCGCCGTGTGATGTTTTCCTCTACTCACACTGGTCTATGTGTGAGTTTGCCCTCCTGTTCCTGCACTGCTGGCTTTTTGGGGACTTTTATGGTGCATAATTATCATCCCATCTCTCTCACAGCAGCAGCTAGGCCTACTGCATGTTATGAGAGTGGAGTGTAATGCTTTCACCTTGACCATTCAGACAGAGCTTGGAGCAGGAGAGGGCCTAGGTGTAGCTCAGATGATTTTTCATTAAAAGGAACACTCCACCATTTTTTCATATTAAACTGTTATTTCTTTAACTAAGACGAGTTGATACATGGCTCTCTCGTCTCAGTGCGTGCGCTCAATCTGTCTGGCTTGTGGCGACACTTTGAGTCCTGTTCATTCATTAGGGCCAAACAGAAATGAGCTTAGAAGCGACCAAACACCTCCACGTTTTCCCTATTTAAATACAGTTAAACAACCAAGTATGGTGACACAAAATAAAACATGGCATGGTGTTTGGTCACTTCCAACTTCATCTCGGTTAGGATCATAATGAATAAACTGACTGAAAGTGTCTCGCACGTGCGCGCACTGAGACGAGAGAGGTATGCATCAACTCGTCTTGGTTAAGGAAATAACAGTTTAATATGAAAAAATGGTGGAGTATCAGAAAAAAATAGAGAGGCTGTTCATGTCATAACTTTATATGAATGTAATATTTATACAAAATTAGATAGTAATCTGCATTAAACACAAAGAAAACAAATTTGGTCCGCTTATAGTGATTTGGCCCAGACAGTTGTGAGAAGCGGTTTCCACTGTATTGTCCAACAATGCATCTCTGAAACAAGTTTAGACAATCACCAGTTGGGAAAATGCCAGAATAAAGATTACTTTTAGACAAATCTACTTAATTTCAGCTGTGCAGTTGATAGACAGGAAAATGGAGGGCAAACAGGGAGTGAATGATCTGTGACTGATGTCTCTATAAAAGTAAATTAATTACCTGGCAGGGCAATTTGTGTCCATAAACGTGAAATGCTGGTATGGCCAAAGAGATGTTGTGTGGTATGCCCTTCCCTAATTTCTGATGGAACACAGTATGGAAAAAGTTTAAGTAAATGTGTCAAGGTCTTTTCTCAAAACAACAATTCAGTTTTACACAAAAAAGTACTTACATGCAAATGTGAGGCAACAACACAGGCAATGTCATAAACGATTCGGAGGTGTATGTTCTTGTCCTCACATCTTCGAAGTAGCTCATCGATGACATACAGGGGATAGGCTAATCTATTTTAACACAAATTTGAATAAGGACACTTTATACTGAGGAAAAGTCAAAATTAATTATACAATCTCCTGCATAGTGAACATTATAGGATGGTGGTAAAGTTTGTAATGTTTTGGAATATACATCATAAGGTTCATATTTGCTGACTGAAAAAAATAAATAAAATATGGCTTATTATATTACTAGGTAGATTCAAACAGGGGAATTATCATTATGGAACACTGGGTCAATAGTCAGAGATGTCACTAATGTGGAATATACTTGCCGTTCTCCTTGGCTCATGTTGACAAACATTAGGGGCATTTCATGACGACAAGAGGCTCCAAACACTCCTGTAACATCAAGTTTCTTCGCTTGTTTTTGTGACCTCAGCACGTTGCCAGCCTTGAAGTTACTGCAGTCCTAAAGATTTAAGGAAAACATAGATTCATGGGAGGAATAATGATTAATTAAATATTTCATTAATTTTTCATGGGCTCAGCCCATGAAATTCTGCAACTAAGACTAACCTCGTGAGGTTCTGAGCTGTCAAGATGTGATAGCAGGTATTCCTCTACATCGTTTTCATTAACAAACATGCGGGTTCCGTGTAATGGCTCAACCGCACTTGTACCTGAGCTTTGCTTCCTCACAAGGCCAAAGTTGGCATCCAATGTTACAATCATATCCCCAGCCGCCTGTAAAACAAACACTTACAGTAATCCTGGTTTGTATCTGCACCAGGTTTATACATTTATACTAATACTATTTTATTATAATATTTTTACACTTTATACAAAAATTAACTAAGTTTTGAGATATCAATTCAATGCCATTAGGTCATGGAAAATGCAATCAGGTTAATCAAACAAGGACCATGGTGGAACTAGAACCAACCTTTGGGCATGCTGGGCATTTGGTACCATCATCTAATTTTGGGCAAATATCAACCAAACTTCTTTGTCGGAAGTGGTGATGCCTAAAATGGGATATGGATTCTCCCACCAGGGCTCTGTAGAGTGTGTTAACCTAGGGTATAAGCAGCAGTCAGTGAAAACATCACTGTTCCGTTTCGTATACTTACATCTGGTGACGGTGGTTCAGTCAGAAGTTGTTATTTGATAGAAAACTTTTAAGAACACTTTTGCATGCAAATGTACAATACTAGATGGTTCCATAAAAGTTTACTTTAAGTTGTGATAATTAATTATGCACTTCAATCAAGGAGAAATGTGTAATTTTCACAACCATATGGAATCAGTCTTCCATGAAAGTACAGTAACTGATATTTTCAATTCACAGGCAAGACTTTTAACTGACCTCTGCAAGTGTGAGGTTATTTTTCCAGCGCATGGTGTTGCAAAAACCCTCGACAGAAACCTGACACTCCAGTGACAGACAAACAAAAAGCTCTAGGAGAGTTATGGAGAAGGCTGTCTGGGGCTTGTCGGCTGTTGCCGGCCAGAGACCATACCTGAGCAGAGTGCAGGTTTCTGGCTCACATGCACACATATTCACTGTGACGGTGCAGAGCCGTCCTGCCAAATAAAAAGAGGGAAATATATAGAGGGAAATATATATATATATATATATATATATATATATATATATATAAACATAAGTACTACTATAGAGACTACCATATCAGCATAGACTAAATCGCTTGTGCGTGTCACCTATAACACCATAAATCAGCAAACAATTTTTTTTTTTTTACAAAATTGTAAAACAAATTTGATTAATTCCTTATAGGAACTTATTAGCACACATGTACATAGGACCGGATTCCTTAACTTGTCAAGAAAATCATATGAAATGACAAACCTGTGCTGACAATGACCTTCATGTCCTTTGTGTACACAGCATGGGTGCTATGGCCTTCAGGTAAATATAGGAATAACCCCAGGGAGGATGGCTCATAGTAGACATTCTGTAAGAAAGATTGATAGCTCTAACAATCTTTTTAAAACTACAAACTCATGACACGAACAGTTGATCCTACATAATGCTAGAACAATTTGAAGTATCTAATAAATCTGATCTAAATTACTGTGAGTTAGTTGTCTGTGTGTATGACTGCATGGTATTGTTCTTACATTCCACTTATCAGAAAGATGCAGTGAATTTCTGTGAGTCCTCTTCAGACAACTCTCACAAAACACTGCAGTAGTACTGCACTCAATGCACCTGTAATCAGCATGTGCTAGGCAGACAACACACTGGGTAGCGATTGGTGCTGAACATTCAAACGACACCTTAAGCATGTCATCCTTGACTGCATCCCAGGCATGAAGCTCTCTCTTCTTTGCCCTACTGTATGCACTCTCAGAACTACAGTTCGGTGACACATCATCAGGTTCAGCAGGTTGAGATGTAATAGTTGGGTTGGTCTGTTTGGAGTTGGGCTGGGGAAGACCTTGACTAAGGTAAGAAACCTTTGCTGGGCCAAAGATACCCCTCCTCACCACCTTAATCTTAACGCTCCTGGAACGTGTGGTCTTAACTGTTTTTCCCATATCTGAAATCAAAATATTTGTCAATTATTACATAAGCAAAGTGCAAACTGTACTTATCACAGCCTAAAAAGACAAAAACACATCAATGAGCGTGGGATGCAGATAAGGGATATGTATTTTGTGCCATAGATAGATATCTCAATAAGAGTAAGGTTAGGCCTATGCTTCAGTAAAGCATCAACGAGCATACAATATCAAACAATAGGCTGCTTTAAAATGTGGAAAAAGTAATTTTGCAAGGCTAACTTTACGTTTAACTAGAAACTACATTTCCCCAGTAGCCTCATGAGCAAAAACATGCTTATTTAGCAACTGTAATGGTCAATTAAACAAGCAAGTTAGTTAACGTAATGCTAAAGGCTTTACGTAAACGTAATAACGTAATAGAGCCTAACGTTGGCCTGTTTAACGTTTACAAAATAATCGTAATACGCTTAACTTATGTCAACACTCATGTCACGCAACATTAAAACACATTTTATGTATTGTTTTCCATTATTGACTAATTATTACGGTATAAATGATCGGTTTTATCATTAAATGTTCTTACCTGAAAATACCAAGCGCGAAATATCATCATACGGTTATCTCATAACGTCACGCAACATTAAAACACATTTTATGTATTGTTTATGTATTGTTTTCCCTTACTAACTAATTAATTACCGTTTAAATGCTCGTTTTTTATCATTTAAATGCTCTTACCTTATCAAAAATCAAGCGCGAAATATTCCAACGTAGCTGCGTCATTCAGTAGACTTCCGATTACCGGCGAGCTGGATTCTGGGATTGGAGCTGGAGTCTTCTCCTGTATTTGTCGGTGATTAACCATGTGGATGGATGATAACAGCCTTCTGAGCCTACCAGTAGGCGCAGCAGGCCCCTACTGGCCCATATATATGGAATGATAACCACTGATAACGCCCATTCAATCGAGTGATAACATTCGAAGCGGGTGGAAACCAGGGGCAAGAAAACAGCCATCACAAACTGGAACAAATGGGGTTTTGCAAAACACAAACAAAGATGATTTAAAGTGCTACACAAATATGTGCACATGTTAGTTAATACAACACATAATGCATCTGTGCGCATGGGAAAGGCGTCATGCAGACCCGCAAAACCCCACGCAACCTGCCACGCAAAAAAAAAAAAAAAAAAAAAAAAAAAAAAGAAAGAAAGAAAACGTATGACTTTGCATGCATTTTGGCTAATTGTAGACAAAAACCTGTAGGTTAATGAGGGAAGATGTCCTCCTTCAGAAAATGTGCATTTACTTTTAAATTGTTACATATTTAGATATAGCTAAGTTTAGCGTGCGCAGGATTATTGTGCATCAGCCAATGTGTTATTATAGGAAATAAATAGTAACATTTGCTAATTAGCCTATAGTAAGAACAAAATGTAAAATTACTCAAAGAGGTCATTACCATATGAGGCCATATGAAAGACAAAGCAGAATCCCAAAAAGAGATTTATCTAAAAGGTAAAATTCTTCTGCGACTTAAATGAATATTTAAATATTTAAGAAGATATGCCATGAAAGCAAATTGAAAAATTTCACTCAACTAACCCCCGCGAAGATGTCGTACATGTACATTTTATTCATGGAATACTGATTAATAACCCCATTAATTAAAATAATGATTAAAGTGATGATAAAAAAAAAAGATCACACCAGGGGCGATTCTAGGGTCAGAGCTTTAGGGGTGCTGAGCACCCAGTGACCCCACTGCCACCACCCACATTTTACACCTATATACGCTCCCTCTCTCTCTTCATTTTATTTATTTGCTTATTTGTAAGGGGGACAGTGTACACATTAATCAATATTAGAACAATGAAAATGTACCCGAGTTAGCTAAAAGAGCTAATTTTCATTGGTAGTTTATTAAAGATATTAACAAATTTGTAAAACTATGTTGGGTGGACTCTGTTCCTCTAGGGGGGTTCGGGGGCATGCTCCCCCGCTAGAAAATTTTGTAAATTTTAAGGTTAAATGCATCAATCTCGTGCTCTTTGAGAGATCAAAATTAAGAGCTTCAACCCATGAACTGCTCATTGAACAAAGAAAAAGCATTGATTTGTACCAGGACAATAAACAGGGCTCAAGCATCTTTTTAATTATGAGTCTCAGTCTGCATTACATTATCAATGTTTTTTTAGGATGCCAAACAATTATTATAATAATGTAAAAATGATTTATATAATTATTCCTATGATGTAAAATCCATATAGCCTATAAATGTACTATATGTGAAAATGAACATTTCAAAAGTATATTTTAGTCAACATTATACTATAGGAAAATTAAAACACTTTTGTCATATTTCTAAACTTGCAAGAAATAAACCCTTAAGCTTGTATATAGGAGAAAATACCAGATATAACCATGCTTATCGCGTGAGCAAAGTGCACACTTTTCTTTAAATCACCCAGCAAAATTGGATGCCTATTCTTAAAGTCTTGTGCTGTTTTATATAGGCACAAAGCCATATCATGGATTCGATTTTAGTTTGTTGGCAAAATATAACACTAGAGCCCTTTATGTTAGGTTATACATTTTACATCTATATGTGTTGGGAAAAGGGAGAAGAGAGAGTTCTGCAAAAGGCGGAATCGAACTCAGGTCGACTCCACTCACGCACTACGACCTACGCCACTGTACTTACTCTGTGACGTGCATCTATTTACTAGAAAGACAGGCACTTACTGCAAATATACGCTCCGTTATCGAAAATGCAAAAAAAAAAAAAAAAAAAACAAACATTTTTTTCTTCCCCCTCGCTTGGGCGCATGGCGAACTTGCAATGTATAGATTTTTTTCGACCGGCCCGCTAGACTAAAACAGTCCGAAAATAAACACTTATAGTTGTACCATGGTGATTCAGGATGCTGACTCCAGTACTCACCGACATGGTTTCGGAATCGGAACAACTGAAAGGAAAAAAAAAGTGTGAGACACAGCTCTGGAGCGTCTCAGTTGATTCACAAAACTACCTAACGGCCCGGATTCTCATAACTCTGCGTGTGTTTCGCGCTGGATGACGGCCGTACTGAGCGGTGCAGGTACAAATAAGTAACATAGAAGAAGAGAAATATTTTCATTTTCATTTCATTTTAAACCACAAACTACTGAGTATGTTTTGGACATTATTTAACCGTGTCAAAGACGAACAAAATTTTTAGAATAACAACATTTCTTGCTCCAAGTTTTAGGGGTGCTGAGCTCCTTTTTAGGGGTGCTGAAGCACCCCTAAAAAGGGGCTAGCCTCGCCCATGGATCACACTAGAAACAAGCCACTAGAGCCCTTCACTTCAATGGGGGACATATTACCTCATGGGTCTAATTTGATCTTTTTACTTCAAAATAAAAACTATAACTATTACTCCTCAAATCCAAAAAACATGAATGTGTCCACAAATCTCTCATTAACAAATAGACACACAAAAAAACTGTGATATTCAACATAATACATTATCATAAAGCACTATTTTCCAAAGACACAGAATTAGATCAATTAACCTCAAAACTGTTTCGGCTGACTAAATATGACAAATGTTGATATTCAGAAAAAAATGACCAAATTAAAATTAGCGTAGCCATTTATCAAAAGTGCTGAGATTAGATTTAGTGACATCTATGGTCAGGAGACAAAAAAATGAAGGTGACTTATCCTTTGCAGCAGACCGGGGCTAGTTGTCACACTTTCTATTTTCCACCATCGTTGCCCTGGAAATAAAGATAGTTCATTAAACACATGCTGACCAATAACAGGCATGCTGTCACATTATGAACTTGTCTTGAAATAGCCATATAAAGTAACAAGTAATTGCCAACATTATTAAATTAAGTGCATAGTGACAACATTTAGAACTTGTTCGGAGAACATAGTTCAACCTTCATTATAGATATGTTTTATATGTTGGTTTATAGTGGTTATATATGATCAAACATGATATAATACTTCATTATAATATACTGATCTATCTGTCTGTCTGACTATCTATCTATCTATCTATCTATCTATCTATCTATCTATCTATCTATCTATCTATCTATCTATCTATCTATCTATCTATCTATCTATCTATCTATCTATCTATCTATCTATCTATCTATCTATCTATCTATCTATCTATCTATCTATCTATCTATCTATCTAAGTTAGCTATAGCTATCCATCCACATTTTAAAAAATATGATGGTGTAGGAAATTGTAGAGTATACCATGCACAAAAATGATCCAAATTTAAGACTAACAGACTGGACTTCTGACGTAAAACCTTATCTATTGATTTGTTTTACTAGGTCACCGCACTGACCGGTTAACACCCATCAAGTGCTTCTGCACAGCTTTAGAGGTGCTGGCGAGCTTCACAAGGTGATAGCGCCATTAAACAGCGATCAGAATATAGCAATTAAGCTGACATTACACTCGCCCGGCGCTGTCCATAGGTGTCCACCGTTTATCCGGGAACCACCTCCTCTTAATTGCCTCCTAATTCCGTGTGTCAGATCCGTGTTTCCCCGCTGTCCCGCCCGCTGGCCGTGTCTGTGTCTTTACCGTTCTCAACTCCGAGGCGTTACTCAAGTCAATGACACAAGGCAAATTGCGTTTAATAAATGAGCTTAATGGATCACGCGATTGGATTGTGAGCGCGATGCTTCCTCTGGTTAAGCAAAACATTTATATCCAGTTCTAAGTGTTTTTAAACCGTGCAGACGGGCTGTGTCTCTCACCTACGATTTAAACTCATTATAAAACAGGTGAGACGAATTCAAGAGCATGAAAAGTGATTTAGGATAATCAGGGGCACGACAGTGTCAGTTTAAGCTTGCTTCAGTCAAAGCGACTCCATTTAATCACAGATGACGTTAAAGTACTGAGATATGCAATACTTAGCAAAGTATGATGATGACACTCGTCCAATATGGCACATGGCAGTCACCGTCAAACGTCCTGGTGCGACCACGTGGCTATTCTCTAATCTTGCACGCTCACCTAATCGAGAATGCAAGTAAAATGTCAAAGAGATGATGACACCTCTCTCTCTTTTATGGCCACGGTATGTTTGGGTGCGCAAAACAATCTCATCGGACATTATTGATGTTACAGATGTTGTAGTAATCAAATTATCGGTCTGTGAAGGGCCCCCCTCAGTCACCGGCGCGCGCGGTGATGAATTACGGTAAAGGTCATCACGCGGCTCCGTTTTATTGGAAGTTTATATGGTAACGCTTGGATGGGTGTCTGTAGGTGAGAGTGTGACTGTGTGTGTTTGGGAGGGGTTATGTTAGAAGTGTGGGAATATTATCTGCTTGCAAACATAATATCCAGGCATGTTCATGTGAAGCAAAGATAATCGTCGCCCACAAAGTTCATTAGCTGCTACTTGTAAACATATCTATTTGTGAATGCGCTTTATGGTGACACAATTTTTGAATATAATTCAGATACAGTAAGTTGTTTTCTAAGTGGGCGATTGCATTTCAGTTCAATTCAATAATGCAGTGTGAAAAAATCCCCCCAAAAACGTGCATTTAATTCAGTTCATACCAGAAAGAAAACATTTTCTCCATTACATCTAAAAAGAAGGCTACAAATCAGCATGTTCAAAACAAGTATAGGCCTAAATGCTACATAAACATGCTGGCAAGCTATTTTTATTCTTGCATTCACCTCAATTTCCCACTAAAATAGGCAAATCCCACATTCAGATGCTCATTGTATTATAGGTTTAATGGAATGTTACCAAATAATTCATCCATTGAATCCTGACAAAATCTCTCTCAGTAGGACACCTACAATCCCTAAAGGGTAACCAACACCTATAACTGAGCCTTTATAGGATTATCACGGATTACACCACATTAGGGTCCCACGTGGCCCCACGCCAAAGGCCCGGAGCCTCATCCATTGTGCGGGACCAGTCCCTCGCGCTGACACTCGGGGTTATTTGTTGTCACCC